GTCATTCATGTAATAGTGATTCATGTAATAGTCATTCATGTAATAGTCTTGTAAAATTAATCTCGAGAACTCTCCTTAATTCTCTCTAGACTATTTAATAAGCACTTATTAACTGAATCTTGTTTTCCTATCTGCTGGAAAATAACATCTGTGGTTCCAATTATTAAAAACTTTGGATAACATTCTGATCCTTCTTATTGTCAGATAATTTTCTTTTCTGTTATTAGAAAGCCTTTGTGTCTTCAACAAATTTCTAATGTCTCATCTTGAGTCTAGTAACTTACTCTTGACAATCAATATGGTTTTCGATCTTTTTATTCTATGGTTTGCTAAGTGCTTTGACTTAAAGGTTCTATCGTGCATTAGATGGAAGTGGCAATTTTTTTTTTTTTCGGTTTACATTTGTTAATAGTTGTACAGCTTTAAATAACCAATAAAAAATATAATAATATAAACTTACAATGATAGAAAATATAACAAATATAAACAAGGTATCTGAAAGAAGATCGCAAAGATCTTGTCGTCAGAACCTTAAATAAGCATTTAACAAAGATAAGATAAAAAAATAATAATAAACTTTTACAAAATTGCAAGGTAAATAATCTCTGCTCTTAATAAACAGTATTGGACAAAACATTTGCAACCAACATCGAACAATGCTAAAAAGTGTTACTAATTTTACATGTCTTAAAAACGAAACGAACTATACTACCATAGCAAACAGTTCAGGAGTCTGGAGTCATAGCATGCCATAACATGAGCAATCAGCTGACAGGTGACAGCACACATGCAGAATTTCGTTGACAAGTGCCATTTTGCAGCGGACAAAACAAGTGCAACTTTTTTGGTTTGCTTCATTTTATTAAGTCTAGTCCGTGTAAACGTCACGGAAGTTTTTTAATAATTAAATGAAGTATCCAGAAAATTCCAGAAGCTTACATGTAACACGGTAAACCTTGAGAAGCGTGATTATTTATTTTTATTATTTTTATGACTTCAAGTGCAAAAATGGCTACCGACAGTCTTGGATTGGAACTAATATAGTAAATTATTGGCGATTACGTAAGTGGAATATCACAAAAAAGTAATAAATATTATATATGTGATAAATATTGCGTGAAAAAATGGACCGTATCAAGACTATGTTCCAAATATCGTTCTACGGGGAAGTTGGCAGCAGATAACAAAGGTGGAAGACCGCGTTCCACCACTTGTAGAGAGGATTCTATGATTGTCAAATCCATCAAAAAGGATCCCTGGATATCATCAGTAGAGATACAAAAGCAACTTGAGCTGCCTGTATCGGACCAAACAATCAGACGAAGCTGTTGTTTGGTCCGATGCCGGATTGTTTTCTCGACGCCCTACAAAGAAACCGCTGATTTCACTAAAGAACCAGAAGAAAAGACTACTGTTTGCTACATCTGGAATGTGCAGAAATGGCTAACTGTCCTGTTCAGTGATGAATCGAAGTTCAACATCATTGGGAGTGATGGCATTTGCCGTGTACGCCGACCGGCCGGAAAACGCCTCGATTTACGTTACTGCCATGAGACCGTGAAGCATGGTGGAGGCAATGTAATGGTCTGGGGTGTTTTTCTGCTAACGGTCTAGGTCTAATACATCGAATCGATGGAATAATGGACCGTTTCATGTATTAAAATATCTTGAAAGATGTAAAGTTACCTGATGCTGAATGGAATATGCCAATAAAATGGGTTTTTCAGCAAAACAACGACCCAAAACACACTGCAAAAGTAGTCAAGCAGTGATTTCAAGACAACCACCTAACAGTGATGGATTGGCCGCCTCAATCTCCGGATCTCAACCCTATGGAGAACCTGTGGGAGATCGTCAACGGAAGAATTAATCGTGAAGGTGTTCGTAATAAGGATTAACTGTTTGAACAAATCCAAAAGGCCTGGGCAGCGATTCCACAAAGTTTCATTGATCACCTATCGAATCTATGCCTCGAAGATGCAAGGCTGTGATTGACAACAAAGGATCTGCCACGAAATATTGATAGCGAAATACAGCTTGGTCAACATTTTGTGGAGTTGCAATTGTTTTGTCCAGAACGAAAATTAACTTTTTTTAATACTTTTGATTAATTTATTAATTTTTGTGTATAAATAATGAACTTTGTGATGAATAAAACTTGAAGAACGTTGTCTCTAAACAATTACATATTATTTCTCTAAATGAAAAAATGTAGAAACTAAATTAGCGTTATTTGGTTGCACTTGTATTGTCCGATACTGTATCTTAAAAATCAATATCTTTATATATCTTAATATATCTAAAGGTTTTGACAAAGTTTAGCATGCTGGTCTTCTCCATAAGCTTGCTTTATATGGTTTTTCAAGGAATATTTTTGAGATTACCAATTCATTTTTTTCTGATTGTTTTATAGAAGTCATTCTCGAAGTTCAACACTCTTCTTCATTTCAAGTAACTTTTTGGGGTACCTCAAGATTCTATCTTTAGTCCTGTATTTTTTTTTAAATATTAATAACCTTCTTTACAACAATAAATTTTTCTTGTTTTGTTGACTTGTTTTGCTGACTGATTTTTATATTCCTATCTTGAAACAAAATCTTTCTGGTCGCTTAGAACAGGCAGCCAACCTTGAATCTGATTTCACTTCTGTAATAACTTAGAGCTTGCTGTGTTTGGTGAGTTTTAAATTTAACAAAAGTTAGTTATTTACAGCAAATAAATCATATACTTTCGACATTCCTATATTGATGAATGGCAACCTTCTCACTAAGTCCTTTTCTTTACGTCTTCTTCGATTATCATTACTATTTGTCTTCTCATAAAAAAATTATACACAATTGATTGCAAAGCTTGCAAAGTTTAAATTTGCTTCACTTTATCTTTCTTTGCTGTTATTTTACTCCTAATTCCATTGTATGGTACCTCTTTTACCTCTACCTCATTGTATTGTACCTCTTTCTCCTTTTTACAAATACTATCATGTTCGCTGCTCAAAAGAGCTATCATCTCTTATTCCTTCATGCAAAACTTAACTTCGCTTGACTCATTTGGTCATTTACCAAAGTTGCATCCTTTCACTGTATTTGTATTTGGATGTTATAAGAACTTTTATTTATCTAGTTTTCCCCGCACTTCAACCCTTTGGAACTCTCTTTATGCTTTCCTGACTCATATAATCTACAGCAATCTTTTGTCAACCTTTTCTTTGCTTTTTTACTCTTATCTTTGCATTCCAGTACTTCCCAACTTAATAGTGGTTGTTTGCTGCTTTGTTGGTAATAAAAATTTAACTACAAAAAATCGAACATTTAGCTGAAAAAACTTTATAGCAAACAAAAACCTTGTAAACATCTTTTGCCTTAATTTTTTTTAAACTTAGCATCTATTTTATTTTGCTATTCATATTTAAAGCAAAATTCGTCTCACAAATTTTTTAATACTAAATTTATAGAAATAAACCATGATTGTGATACAAGATCTTCAGTAAACTTCATTGTTGTACTAAATCTAAGTCAAAACTGATTTCATTAAGAGAAATATTCTTTGTATAAAAGTTTTTTAAACGTTGTTTCCGGAAAAAATCTTTTCTTAAAAAGTTTAAAACTGAATCAAAGCCCCATTTATTAAACAGTTTTTTATTTTGTTTCATTTAAAATATATAAAATAAATAAAACACTGATCAGATAAAATCAATTAAAAACGAAAATAACCTGTAATTTTTTAAATGTAAAGTTTAATGATAATAATTATTAACATTATCACACAAATCACGCTTTAGGCCAGCGCAAACGAGGTGAGCCCCCCCCCCCCCCCCATCAATGAATTTTTTGTTCATTTAGTTGGAAAAATTGACCTTTTTAGACAAGACAGTAGGCAAATGTAGACCATTTAGATAAGTTGTTCGGCAAATTTAGACAGTCAGTCGGCAAATGTCGAATAGTCAGTCGGCAAATTTTATTAAAACGAGGACCTTTTTTTTTCGTTGGCAAAAATGTAATAGCACCCTTTTGCCCCACGTGAAACCTACTCGCACCGGCCCTGATTACAACTTCTTAAATTTGTTTATGATACTTAGTACCGCGGTTTCGAGGTCCGAGGCCCCCGAAAATCTTTCATAAGGGTCCCGAAATTTTAAATATGTTTCCATTAGGTTTTACTAAAAAAAAAGCTCCTTACTTTTTCAAAAAACACCCCCTAAATTTGCTGACTCCCTATTCCAAATATGGGATGTATGGAAGCCAAGCCACGTCTCTGATGTTATTATTTATTGATATTACCTTATTTCTCTCTTTATATTTTTGTAAATATCAACTTAATTATCAGTAAATACTATATATTCTTGTTAGAACTTCATAACCTATTAAAGAGTTATGAAATTGTAACAAGGCAAAATCGATGTTTTCTTGTTCTGGTAGTTAAAAAAGTTAAAATATTTATGTGCATTGTAATATTTATTAAACGGAAAAATAGCAATCGTTTAATAAAAGTTAAGGAAAAAAAATACTTTAAAAACAATTTAAGAGTATTTATTTATACTCTTTTGGCACACGCGTTTACGTGACTTGTCTGAAGGTATTTTATCTATATTATTTATTTTGCTGAACAGTTCTAATAATTAAATTGCATTCACACATATGTTAACAGTTATATTGAAAAGAGTTATGAAATTGTAACAAGGCAAAATCGATGTTTTCTTGTTCTGGTAGTTAAAAAAGTTAAAATATTTATGTGCATTGTAATATTTATTAAACGGAAAAATAGCAATCGTTTAATAAAAGTTAAGGAAAAAAAAAATACTTTAAAAACAATTTAAGAGTATTTATTTATACTCTTTTGGCACACGCGTTTACTTGACTTGTCTGAAGGTATTTTATCTATATTATTTATTTTGCTGAACAGTTCTAATAATTAAATTGCATTCACACATATGTTAACAGTTATATTGAAAAGAAAGAAAAAGTATCTATAATTACATTTTTTTTCTGCGATTAAATTTTTTTTTGTGATTACATTATTTTATTTTAATTAATTTGTACTCTGGTTAATCCCAGCAACACTTCTGTGATAACATATAGAAATCAATGTTAAAATAAATTTTTTAAGGACATTTGTTAGTTGTACACTTAGTTTTTTGTTATGACCTTCGGAATACGATTAAAAATTTTTTCTGCTAACAAACATTGTTTATAAGACGACTTTTGAACCCATTGGCAAACTTTTCTATAAGACCTTTCACAACTCAAGTGCTTATATACACAATCTTCAAAAGATTTTTCCCAGGAGACTTTCCATTTGCAACCATTTTCAATATCGCAATATCCATCCATACACGTTGCAACCTGGCAACTACAATCATATTTTCCACTCATACCTTCAATCATATCAACAGTTAATTGGTGCCATTTCAAATGAAAATCACAGCTGGTCATTTGAAGTTTAGCATGATCAAAATTTCCAGTCAGCAAATAAAGTTTTCCAATCTCAAGTTGAATTCCACAAATGCTTTCTGCTGCAGGTATATGAAGCGAATGAATTTGTTGCAAATTAAATCGAAATGACGGTTTTGCATTTTTCAGCACGGAATTAATCAGTATCTTATAAACAATATAATGCGGCAAAGGAATGCCCAAGTTTTGTAAGCTTTCGTCTGTGTGATTAACTTTTACAATTTTGTGTGAAAGAATCCTGGCCTTAACAACTAAAAAAAAAAGAAAAATTTGTAAATACTTTAATATTGTTTATAAGAATTCTGGCCTTAATAACTAAAATAAAATATTGATTGTTAATAAATTTACACAACAAACGCAAATAATAAAAGCAAGCAACTATACATATCTTGTTGCATAAACTTCAGTTTTTTTATAAAAATAAATACATCTTTAAACAATTTTTAACGTGTCTAAAGATGCTTTCAATGTGTTTAATATTCTACTGACCTTGTTAGTATGCATTTATAAGGACCACGTAAGCATGGACATTCTTAGGAATTGTAGGTCCCGTTAGAACGCCTAGTCTCTGTACTTTGAAAATACAGTCAGCTATTGAAACAATTTTAAAAAACAAACTTTTTCAAGCTATTATTTAAAAGGTGGATGGGAGAGAGATTTAATATTTCGTTACACTTATGTGACAAAGAGCCTCAAAAAATTTTTTTTTGAGTGTTTGACGTTATTTGTAAATGGTCCATAAGATACTTACCGTTTAGTAACGTAAATATTATATTAAAGTAGACTGTAGTTAAATAAAAAAATCACAAATCATGATTTTACGTGACTTCTAATCAGATTATTTAAAAAAAAGAAGAAATAGATAATTCATATTGTTAAACGCATAGTTACTAAAAACATTGTTTCAAAATTTATGTCATTAATATCTTAATTTAGCCCTTTTTTCTCTTTTGTTCTTATCTTCAGGGTAGAACTACACATTAATCATTTATAATAACGTATTAATGTAAATGTAGTTCATAACAAATAGATATTTAGTCGAATGTAAAAGAGCTGTGTATTTGAATGCAAATGAGACAACAAATATTTATGTAAAACTAACATTGTCTTCTCACCGTTTTTTAAAGGTTTAAGTTTTAGTTATTTATATTTTAGAATTTTTTAACCACTCTTTCTAGCAGGTTCACATGAAATAGAAACCGCTAAACACAAATTAAAAAACACCTTTTTTTTTTTTTCTTTTTTTGACCATTTTTCTAAATATTCAAAATCTTCAAAAAATGAGAAACGGTTTTAAACTTTATGTAGCCATATTTTTTGAGCATCAAAATATGTTTGGATAAAATTTGAAACCTAATTACAATTTATCATTTCAATCAAGATAAAAATTTTTTTTTCAAAAATTAATTTTCCTCATCTCTGGGGATGCGAGTGGCATTTTTAAATTTCTGCCCTATTCGTGAAATAATCTATAACGCCAAGTACGTATCAAGTTCTTGGATAATTAAAGGACTTAAAAAATCACTGAAAGTGAAACAAAAACTGTATATTAAATATCTAAAGTATAAATCAATCAATCATAAAAATAACTATTAGTTTATAAAAATAATTTCAAAAAACTCCGCAAAAATGCGAAAAGAGATTACTATTCCGACTTGTTTGCAAAGCACAAACATAATTCAAAGCCTATTTGGCAACTAATGAAAGAGATCGCGGGAAAAAAATAAGAAAAGTACAATATTAGTATCGAATGCAATAAAAATTAAAAACAAATTATTTAATAACCCTAATAAAATAACTTTTGAATTTAATAGATTTTTTTCTTTAATCGGAACAAACTTATCAAATAAAGTTCCTAACCGTAATGAAAAAACAATTGATGAGTTTATAACATCGCTTAATTTAACTTTAAATTTTTCAAACCTAACAAATTAGTTTATTAGTAATTAAAGTTAATTAGTAAAGCAGCGTTTAAATCATTAAAACGAATGAATAAAATAATAATAATAATAATAATAATAATAATAATAACTACAATTCCATTGTAGTTGTAGCTTATTGCGTCAATGGAAATGTTATAATAGACTCCTTTGACGTTTTGAAAAATATACTCTTTAAAATTTGTAAAGGATCTATTGTTCAAGGATCTTTTCCAGACTCTATAAAAGTAGCAAAAATTAATCCTATTTTTAAATCAGGTGATCATTGCAACATTATAAATTATCGTCCTATTTCAGTTCTTCTAATTTTCTCTAAAATATTGGAAAAAATAATGTATAACAGAGTCTACAATTATTTTATTGAAACTAAATTTTTATATAATAATATAATAATTAAATTGGCTTCCAGAAAAGCAATTCTACAGAACACGCTATACTCCAACTAACACGTAGCATTTCTGATTCTTTTAAAAATTCTCATTATACCCCAAGAGTCATTGATTTGTCTAAAATTTTTGATATTTTTGATCACAACATTCTATTGAAAAAGTTAGAACTCTATGACATTAAAGATAAATCTCTAAGCCGGTTCAAAAGATATTTTAGTGATTGTGAGCAGTTCGTTAATATCCAAGGCTCTTTTTTGTCTTAATTAATGAATGTAACATGTGATGTCCCACAGGGATCCATAGTTGGGTTCCTATTATTTTTAATATATATAAATGACCTTAACAAAGCCTCTAACTTAATCACTATAAATTTTGCTGATGATACAAACCTATTCCATTCTCATGAAAACATAAATACACTTTATAATAATATGATACAAGAGTTAAATAAAATCTCATATTCGTTTAAGAAAAACAGATTGTCCCTCAATATTAATAAAACAAAATGGACACTTTTTTACCCAATATCCAGAAAAAAATGTTTGCCAAATACGATGTCCAACCTCTTTATTGATAATACAATACTAAAAAGGGAAAAAGTTACAAAACTTCTCAGAGATTTTGTAGACGAAAACTTATCCTGAAAACAACAAATCGATAACATCTCCATGAATGCTGCTAAAAGTATTGGAATTATATATAAAGTTCAACATATGTTAAATAAGCAACAATTAAAACAACTATATTAATCGTTTATCCCCTGCCATTTAAATTACGCAAATATTGTATGGGGAAGCGCGCACAAAACAAAACTTAAATCTCTTTATCAGCATCAGAAACACGCAGCTTGCTTAATTAACTTTGTAAATCTTTTTTCAAATTCAAGACCACTTCTGAGAGCCTTAGTCTATACGAATTAAATGTTTGAAGCATGAAAGCCTTTAATCTATAGAAACTAAATGTTTATAATATTTTATGTTTCATGTTTAAATGTAAAAATCATTTTTCTCCTGATGCATTTATAAATCTTTGTAATGTAAAACTCATAAACAAATACAATCTTCGCAATAGAAAAAATCAACAAGAACCTTTTTGCCAAAATAAATTTGAACAACTAATTATATCTTATCACGGTCCTTATTTATGAAATAAAATAGTTTTGCCGAATTTTGATTTGTCTTTGAAATGGACTTTAACTTCTTTCATACAAAAAATGAAAGAAGTTATCTTTTCAGCAGAAAATATTTTTTCTTGTTTTTAGTTCTTTTGTTTCATATATTTTATACAGTATATTTATACTGCACAGTTAAATATAGTTTTTGTTGATTTATTTTTATTGGTTAATTTGATATTATGTCACTATTATTATATTTGATATTGTAAAGCCGATTATATTTGTTATAAAGGTATTCTGTAATTGTAATTTTTTTTTTTTATTGAAGGCTATTAATAAATTAACAAAACAAAAAAAAACAAAAAAAATTAGGACGCGAATATTTTGAACATTTTTTTTTTGCAAATTGACGAATAATCGGATCAACATCGGATCAATAACAATCGGATGACGCAAGAACCGACTATTTGACAGCGTTCTAAGCAAACCCAGGAAAAAAAGTGCTATAGAATTTTCTATAAACTTTTGAAACATATGGCTTATAGAAATTTTATAGAATTTCTATAGAATGACTATTAATTTCTATAGAAATTGCTATAAAACTTTGCTAATTTCCAATAATTTCTGTTTTCTATAAAAAAAAGTAGAAAAAAAGTTTCAATAGGAATTTTTATAGAAGTTAACCGAAACTCTATAGCAATTCTGTAGAATTTTTATAGGCCATATGTTTCAAAAGTTTATATAAAATTCTATAGAACTTTTTTTCCTGGGAAAGGATTTTCTGTTTTCAGAAGGTGAATTCAGAAAGATAAAGTGTACTATGATTTTTAGTACACGGCAGCAAACAGCTCAATTGCAGTTGCCATCTTCTTGTTTAAATCTTCACAAGTTATTAACTTGATCAAAACCATTTATCCAGAAAGTCTCTACAGTTTTACTAAAGCTTTACTTTTCTGTTTTAAATATAAGTTTGACATGCAGATTTACATATTGCAGACGGATTAGAACTTAGGTTCAGAGTGAATCAGGATTCACAAAGTCTTTGATCAGATGAATCGATGAGTTCATCTTCTCCAAAGATGAATTCATTGACAACAGAAACATATCCATCTCCTATTTTCAAATAATATTTAGCTTTTAGCAGACACACTTTCTACAAAAATGTTTTTATTTAGTATTTTATGTATTAGGTTATTTGAATTTTAGAAAATTTACACTCTGACAAATTGTTCAATTTAAAAAAATTAACAGACGATTGACGTAATTTATTGAGACTAATTTGTAAATAGACTAAATTGTGTTGTGTTTATGCCATTAGATTGCTAATTATTTTTAATTAGTCTCTAAATAAAAATAATTTCAATTTGAGGCACAAACTACGCGATTTGGAAACAAGAGTAGAAAAACCTTTGAAAAACGCCCCCTGGTCAAGAAAAAGTAATATTTGAAAAAAAAAATTACTTATCTTGAATTTCATCGTAAATTCAAATTAGGCTTCCAATTTTATTAAAATATATTTTGACGCATAAAAGATACGGCCACATAAAGAGTAAGACCCCCTCATTTTTTAAAGGTTTTAAATACTTAAAAAAAAGGTATAAAAATGAAAAAGATGCGATTTTTTAATTCGTTTTCAGCGGCTTTTATTACATGTAAATTTGCTAGAAAGAGAGGTTAAAAAAGTTCTGAAGTAAAAATAACTTTAACTTAAAACCTCTAAAAAAGAGCAGTGTGTTAACGATAAAAACGAAACGAAAATAAACTTGTTAAGAATTTTCATTCATAATGTAATTGGTTCTTATTTGCTTTATGCTAATTTCCAATAATTTCTGTTTTGTAAAAAATGCAACTAGTAAATAGATAAATTAGGTGAAATAAACAACAAATATAAATCTATTTTTTTATTTAATAAAAAAGATTTGTCAATAACTTACCGTACTCTGATTTACAGAAAGCGCTATGTGGATGAATCGGCATACACATACAGCCCAGAACAACTTTTATGTTAAAACTGGCTAAAATTAAAATTAAACCAGAAACAGAGAGAACCATCCTTTTAACTATCATCTTCGCAGGGCAAAGTAATTTGTTTTTAGAGCTAGTAATGATGGATCGATTTTATTACTTTATTACAGTCAAATTCTATTGGCTGTTCTCATTACTTTCTTTCTTAATTTTCTATTGGTTCTTCTAATTGTTTACTTGAATGAAATGTTTGGCACTGAACTTTATTTAAACAAAAAAAAAAAAACCAAAAAAATCAATTATGATACACTAAACAGTTTTTCAGTATAGACAAATTGCTATTGTCAGCAAGTTTTTGAATAAAAGATAAAAGTAATTGCAATACCTTAATTTGCTTGTCATTTTTATTTTTAAAAACATCAGACTTGGCACCAATGGTAACTGTTTAAAAATAATAACCCTGTCATTTTTTGCCAAGGTATTTTATTTATAAATGACCAAGATAAATTTGTTAACGCATAAAAATTGTTAATGCGGCATATATATTATTTAAAATTTTTTCTCGTAAATTTTTCTGAAAATTTGATTTGGATACAATTTAACTTTCACGAGAGTACTACTCACTATAAACGGTTCTTGCTGCATTTTTATATATTTATATATATATATATATATATATATATATATATATATATATATATATATATATATATATATATATATATATATATATATATATATATATATACATATATATATATATATATATATATATATATATATATATATATATATATATATATATATATATATATATATATATATATATATATATATATATATATATATATATATAAATCATTAGATTTTTTTGTTAAGTTTTTATATTATGATGCAGAACTTTTAAACTAATATGAAATATTTTTTGTTCCTCATAATAAAAGTTTTAATAACAATAATAATTTATTGAAAATATCATTTGCAACAGTATTGCTGTTTTAGATAAGTGTTGAGAAACGGTAAAATGGTTTGCGCCAATTTTCTAGTTTCATAACTACAAAACATTGAAACTGCATGGTCTTGACAAACAAAACAAACTTTATTTTACATAATAAGAAAATAAAAAATTAAAATTAGTTTTCTATAAAGATATTGTTTTGCTCATTTGAAATGCTACTAGTGGTAAAAGCATTTATTTTTTAAAAAAGTGCAAAAAAGGACATCAAAATACAAAAACCTTTATGATATATCTGCCTGCAGATGTAATTTAGATAAAATTTCTTGACAGACGCGCTTCTAGCTCGTCCCATTTAAAGCAAAAGTAATATTAAAAAAACTTTTCAAAAACTTTACTTAAATGACGCCAAAATAAATTAATAAAAGAACTTTGTAAAAGAAATATTAAAAAAATTTACTCTCACCCAAATAAAGTTATTTTTTATTTTGCAATCTAAGGAAACAGAGTTTTTCAACTAATAGTAGAGTTACTTATGAAGTTTTTCAACTAATAATAGAGTTAAGGCCGTTTTCCACAAGACGAAAAATTCGCGCGAAGCGAATTTTTTCGCTACGACGAAACGCTGTTTTGATTTCCACTTACTTTATTTCGCGCTACTTTTTTTTCGTTGTCAACAAATAAAAATGGCAGCAATAAGTTTACGCTGTTTTTTTAAGTGAAAGCAGTTAATACTTTTTTAGCATACTTTCTACTTTGAAGCATGTGAAAATTTCTTTCCGTGCACTAATATTAACATTTCTGCCTTTATATGTAACATGTGATATTATTTTGTAATATAATCGTTTCATATAAGGTTTTTTTTAAATGCTAAACTCTGATATGAACATTTCTATTAAAAACTATTACTGCAAGAACGAACAGCAGGTTTAACTCTATAAAGAATTTTTCACAAAAAGGTTTATCTTCGTGTGGCCATTTGAAGATAAACATTCTTATGAAGTGTAACTTTTGTAATTGACAGTGTGAAAATTTATATTTGTAAATTTTCGATTTAGTTTTATATATAAGTCTGGTCATTTTTTTATGTAAGTCTTGCCCCTTGTTTGATAAATTTACTCATGCTAGCTAATTTTCAGAGTAAGTTCATATAAAATTAATAAGAACGCCTGGTTAAGAATTTTGTTTTTTGTTACTTTAAAAAAATTTTTCGCTTTTTTTTAATGTTGACATCACGTGATATTCAAAATTTTATTGGTTTTCGCTTATGGCGATTCGCAAAAAGTCGAAATGAATCCGACTTTTTTTTTCGCTGCAGCGAAACGCTGTAGCGAAAAAAAATCAGAAAAATCCAAAAAGGTTTAATCTGCGCAAGCTTAACGACGAAAATATTCGCTTCGCGCGAATTTTTCGTCTTGTGGAAAACGGCCTTTACTTATCAAGTTTTTAGAAAGTGTTAATATAAAACAGTTCTTCCTAAAAAACCCAATCTAGAAGTAGAGGATTAATTTGGAAAAAATCTTTAAAAAGTAAAAGATTGCTAAATATCTTAACTCTATTTTTTTGAAGTCGATTGTTTATATTCTATATTTTTTGAAGCCAATTACTTTTTTTTTTATTGTTATTATGCTCTAAGATGCAAAGATGCTCCAAAAAGTCCGTTGATTTTGTCAACGCAAAAGATTATTTAAAAATTTAACGGCTCTTTCTTTACCAGTGTCGCAAAAATGGTATCAAGCCTCGAACATCTTGTTTCTGAGAACAAGCGCTCTAACCACTGCCCAGCGACTGTTTAAACAAAGCAGAAAAGCGATTTCATAAAAAGTTTAATAAATTACTTGCAAACTTAAAAGTTAGACAACAAAAGTGTTAAACATTAGATATAAATACTAAGGAATCCCATAATCTATCTATGATAATCAATTATAATTTGGGAACGTAGAAGTCAGATTTATATGACTTCTACGTTCTTTTTCATTTGTTGGAAGTAGTAAAGCGTTGGTCGTTTGATGGTTTTTTAATGGATAAAAATAGAATTGGCTCTAAATTCAAATCTAGTTAATTTTTTTGTGTTTTTTAACTTTTTAATTTCAGAAATATTTAGGACATTCCATTTATAATTGCACTAATTATAGATAAAATAGAAAAATATATATTTTCATTCATGATGCTGGCATCAAACTTTTTTACTTTCATATTGGTATCAAATAATGTTTTAAAAACAAAATTGCTGTCGTTAGAGCAGTGTATCAAACAAAACCAAATCCAAAATGGTAATCAATTCTCAAAAGATTAGTCATTACATTTTTAACTTTTTGTTGTCAATCAAACCAGATTAAAATTTATATATATTTAGTTTTATAATAAAATATACCAATTTGTCTTTAGATGTTATTAATAGAATAAATCCTACTTTTTTATGGGAAGGAGGGGGTTGGTTTTAAACTTAACATGTTCATTTAAACACCAAAATATGACCTTTAGAAATAACTACAACATAAACAAACTGAGACTTTTTCTCTCCAAACTTGCGGCTGGGGGTAACATTCATTATTTTTTTTTTTTTTTTCTCGTCATTTTATTTAGACTTAAACCAATGTGTTTGAAAAAAGGTTTTAACAAAATATGCCACCAAACAATTTTAAAATTTATTTTCAAAACTCAAAGCTTACTGTTAGATTTTGAGTCCAACCGCCAACATCCGTATCATAGTGATGGAGCAAAAGCTGCAACTAATTTTTTGCATCTATTACAGTCTTCTTTTACGCCTTTTTCCATAAAATATTTACTTGTAATAGGTTTCAAATTTTTCCTCGTTTTTAAAAATCTTTTCTTTTTTAATGAGTTTTGCTGCTCTCTTAATGCTCGACTTAAATAACTTTGACAAATTTAATAATTTTCAAACTTAATGCGTTCTCGAAACTCTTTCAAAAATATCGAAGCGAGTTTGATTTGTAAACAATTTTTTGAGCTATGACCAGGAAAATTAAAAGTTAACCAGGAATCTGGTACATGGTCTTTATTAAACAAGAAACTGCTGTTCAAAAAGATTTCACCTTTGAAACTATTCCTTTTTTCAAGATCTTTTTTCTGGGACAAATAATGAACTTTTGTAACCTTTCAATTGCTACGTAGTAATCACAAAAAACAAATTGTAGAGGCCTCCAATATGGCTCATATTTTGTGAGCTTGTACGTGACAGTCTAATATTCATAAAAAGTTATTATAAGAATTAAAAGTTCTTTTAGTTCATAAGCAGTGGAATAAGGATTTGCCGTCAATATTTCCATCAGCATTACAATAAAACGAAGGGATAAGAGTTGTGGCCTGGTTTAATAGGTATTCCCATCCCAATGAAATTTTGTTTTTATTGATACTTGTTTCACTTTCAGAGAAAAAATACAACTATTTCTTTTTTACACTACAAGAGGTTTTAGAACTTTTTCTTAATAATTATACTAACCAATATAAAACAAACATCCAACGCTCTAATTGCTAATCATCTTCCTGTATTCTAACTCTTATGAAGTTTGAATCTTCAATCATATGTGATAACAAGCTTAGTCAATCAAATTTTATAGGATAAGGATTAGTGCGTGTCAATTTTAAGTTTGAATTAATTTTGAATTTTTATTACAGCTTATTTTTTGTTTTAAGGATTTTGTACCTGAAACAAGAAAGTAACTTTAAATTTGAATAAATAGTATTTTTTGCTACTTTTTTTATCTCGTAATATATATATATATATATATATATATATATATATATATATATATATATATATATATATATATATATATATATATATATATATATATATATATATATATATATATATATATATATATGGCTATTTCCACGATGGAAGAGCTAAGTTTCGTGTTTAAAAATTTCTTTTTTTGTAGTTTAAACACTTTAAAGTTGTTAAAGTAAATTTTGAGAAGAAAAATTTGAACCGAGTAGATAAATTAGATGAACGTTAGCAGCTGTTTTTACTTTTTATTATTCAAAAAAGTTAGCAAAATTTGACGGCAAGTTATTGCAATATTTTAAGCAAAACATATATCAATATTTTTGTCTATAAAGAATCTTTGACATTATATAAGTCTTGAGTAAAAAAACTTTTACTCTTTAAAAATAATTCAATTGTTTTTTT